GATAAAAGATCTTCTCCTCTGTTGCTCATATCGTAAACACGTTTACACGTGGCTCGGATTTTCATTTTCGTGTCGCGTTCCTTCCTTTAACTTTTAGATGATATGAGTATGTACATGCATTTGTAAGAAAGATATCTATACTGATATTTAATTCTACCCAACCTACTCGAATTATTTGGCAAATGGAGGTTCTAAAATATTATCTGGTAGCTAGGTACAAAAAGGCAGAAGAAGATAAAAGTATTTAAGAAGTCTTTAAATCTTTCTAAGTCTGAATTAAGTTGGGAAAGAGCATGATGTTATATTCTATTGAATTTCAATTGTCTCATTTACGACGTATGTGAGAAAAATAAATAAATATTAATACGAAAACCAACACTAAGTAGAATTTCATTTATTCATTCGAAATTTTTGTTCATTTTCGATTAATAAACTTCTACTCGTTGAACTCGCATATTTGAACTTAAGTTCCTATCATATGATATGATGTGGATTTTGATACATTTATGGCAAATTTAAAGGTGCAAAATTTCTAGAATGTACATAATATACAAAAGTATATTATTTTATTGCAATATTGTGTAAGTAGGACAAATCACGGACTAGGTCCCAGTCTTTTAATTCGTGTTTATAAAAATATGAATTTTATCGATTACTGTGTAAGCTGTTCGTCTCTCGACAATTTCAGATAAATGGAATTCTATTATAACGAATAATAATAACAATAACGAATTAATCAAGCCAATCTGAAACGAAACGTACATTGAAAGACACAACACTCATAAAACATAGAGCTGAATAGGTACAACTTTAAAACATCTGATTCTATACCTGAAAAGGTTAATCCCATTTCGATGGAAACAAGCAGACACTGTCTCCGCTCAAAAAGCTAACAACCGAAATTGCTGAACTCTCGAAAGATACACGTGTCCACGTGGCTTTCCCGAGAAGGATATCCCGTAACCAATTCCAAAAACGAGCCGACAGAAATGTAACGCGATCGTAGCCGGTCCGTCCGATCGATCGCGAAGAAGCGGCAGCTGCTTGCACGATCGAGTCAATATTTAATACAGTGGCCCCGCTGTTGTCCTGTGACCAGTTTCGGAAGGGTGACGTCCCACCCCTTTCATCCAGTCGGGCTGCGTTGGCGCATTCTTGCCGGTTTTTGTCGGCGGTTGGTATATCGAAGAAACGTCGAAACTCCAATTCGGGATATCGACGCGAGACGAGGATATCGAATCGGCTGGCGCTTCGACCACGATTCCATCGTGGATCGAAGGAACGACGAAAAAAGGGGGCAGATATTAATAAGATGACACTGTTCGCTTGAACTCGTACGAACGATTGACAGATGTTACTCGGCCAGAGGTAGCTGTTCTTGGGAACGATCGTTCCTTCTCCTCTCGATTCCAACTCACGATAATTATCTTTTTCTACGCTTGTCATGTAGTGACGATGATTTTGTTTTCTTTTTAAAACCGCCAAAATTCCACGGAACGAACGCGTGTACGCGAGAGATGGCATATATGGTGTATCATTTATGACGAGAATCGAAGATTCGATTTTTTGGATGGAAAGGATAATGGTAACTGGTGAGATTCTTAGGGCTGGAAAGGGAACCAGCCTTCTTTGGGGAACACACTGTGCGTCTGGTACAGAGGACCGCGCGCGGTCAGGATCGCATCTAGATTCGGTTTTTTGATCTTCTGGCAAACCGTGGGACGCCGTGGTCCAGCGGGGAACGAGCCAAATATGTCCGTTGCCGGAGCCACATTTTCATTGACTTTTTGCCGACGAATGAATTATCGCGACGGTCTGCACGTGAAACGTTTCGCGACCTCAGGGGTATAAGCGCGGCCGATCGATTCCACGAATTTTTTGAATATCGAAAAGTTAAAACGAAATTATGGTGATTCGACGTTCACTCTGCCATCTTTTGATGTTATCGTTGTCTGGTAGATTCGTGTGTTTCACAGCAGAAATGGTATTTTCATTTTACTTTCTATTGGCCCTTTTTCCCATTACGTGTAAATGCAACGCTATTGAAAAACATACGAAAGTATTCGAACAATTACCATAGGAAATTTTTATGAATATATTATGCGTGTTATGCAACATTTCTTGAAATTTTATTAGCACTGAAATGATCTGCCAATGTATATACATATAAGATTATAAGGTGTTTATTGCGAATATGCATTTAATGAAAAATTATATGAATCTTGTAATTTTTGTGAAGTGTATGTTTGCAATACATGCCTTTTAACTTGCATATACATTCTCGAATTTGTTTCAAACTTTACCGATGTGATCATAATATATCATAATTATGTCACGTGTATCTATTATAAAAAATGATTTATGTAACACATGTGGTATGTATTCAGAGCAATTTGTGACAAGTGTTCAAATACTTTCGCGAGCCTATCTAAATAAAATAAGTTATTGTTTTATCGAGTTAAACACCTTACAGAAGACCGTTCCCACAGAATGTAGAATCTACGATACCTCCAAATTTCATAAAATTTTAGGATGTAAATGGAGAAAGAAGTATTACCGAAAAAGATATTGACCAGATTCTTGAAATTCATCTTTAAAAATACAAAGTGAATTTGTCAGAATTTGATAATCCTAAACTGATTTAAGTACTAAAAAGTTACAAATGAAATGTTGCACCTAATTAACTTAACTGAACCTTAACATGTTGACTGCCACCAGTGACCATTGGTGGACCTACGTTACTAAATTTTTTAGGATGATTAAAACAAGATAAATTGAATGTTCAACAATGTGAATACCATAGGTAACATTGCCAGAGAAAAGGTGTGCAGATACAAATATTCTGCGAAAATTAAATGCTTCAATGCAGTAGGTACATTTCAATCTATTGCGAGTCCCAGGGCAAAATATAGGTATATAAAATTCACATGACAATTAACGTGTTAATAGTTTAAAGATCTCTGAAAGCCACCTGAACAAGATCAAAATGGCTCTGTGGAATGGTTTCTCACCGCGTTCGGAGTGAAAATATCCGAAGCTGAGTCATCGGAAGAGCGGGCCACGCGCTGCTCTCGTTGGAGGGGATTCGAAGAACAAGCGGACCGCCGCTACACGGGAATGTATTCCGAATGTTTCCCTCGTAATCGTCTGTTTGTAGGTACGTCCGTGGATCGTCTGGGGTTGGCAAAGGGTGGTGGAACGGGGCCAGGAGAAATGGAAGGAGAGGACAGCTTCTTGCGTTGCATGTTTGTCGTCGAATCCGCCGCGTGATTGACGGACGTTAGCGAGAGACGAGGGCTGCCTCTCTGTATCGTGACATCCTCTGATCCGATGTTTATCTTGCACCGCTACGAGCTCGTTCCTGTTGTTCTCCAAAAGTAGGTATGTAGTACCCGAGAGCGCGATCTTTGCGATCGTATTTCGTGCTGCGTCCTCCTTGGCTGGAATCGATCTTGCTGGACCGTGAGTCGTGGATTAGCGTTCGTGAAAGCCCTCGCAATGGGAAGGAGAACGAACGTGGATCAATCCACAGATAGGGGAGAGAACCGAGAGATTGACATGCGGACCGGGCGGGAGCCTTTAACGCAGAAAGATCGAAGGTCCAACGATCGGAATCGGATGTAGAACCCGCGCGCTACATCTATCGTATCGCTCCTTTTGATGTTTTCGCCAACGTTTCGTTTATTGCCTTTTGCTTTCAACTCGAACGCGTTGGTTAGGCTCTCACGAGTTTGCTCTACGATTTCGTAGAAATTTCCAGGATCTCGATATTTCTTAGGATGCTCTATCTATTAGGCTTGATTCGTCTTTTTTAGGAAGTTGGAAGGTGCAGATTTCTACAAGGTTTTGGTTAGTCTAATTTGATTAGATAACATATAATTTTTTAGTGTGTTTATTAATACTAATTAGTAATACGAAAATATGTAGTCTTTCGTTAACTGAGTATTGATAATATGAAAAATGTGTATTTTTCTAGCAACTGAGTATCAATATTATAAAAACTCGTTTCCTTCTAGTATTTGGATATTGTAATATGAAAACGTGTATTCCTGTAGTGATCGAGTATTGAATAAGTTTAGTCTTATGATTTTGAAATCAATGTGAATAGGTTGAAATAAATTTATGAAGGATTAGGATAGAATTAATTCTACCTAGAATATTATTCGTATTTTTCTGGGCAAGTGAATTTTCTTCGATGCTTCATTTCTTAATGTTTCTAAAATTAAGACGCCACTTTTATAATCATTTCTCATACTCCAGTTACAAGTGATCTATGAAGACTCTGTGAAATATTAATAAAAATTGTAGCTGAAAATTATTTCTCATTAAATACACAAAGAATATTTCCATACCAATGTATCACACTACCGAAAAATATTCGAGACAGAATTTTACTTCATCGGTGACACAGAATGAATAAAGTCTCGACACCAGCGAGAATGTTTTGCGAGCAGACATTCTACCGGTATTCGAAACGCGACTCTAAAGAATGTTAATTTTACATTTAATCATGGGTATCGGTTTCTACCAACGCAGTTATTGCGCGAAAGGAATGATTATGGAACGCAACGAAATTGTTACACCCAGTGGAACGCGAGTCGTTCTCGCGAGCAAGGGTAATCAATACAATTATTATGCTCCTGTTCCAGTGCATTTTCTGGAGCGCTGTACACTGTACAACCTTCGGTCCACGACGGAGGGAAGAAAAAAATAATAAAGGCTAAGAGAAAGGGAACTGTTCTCGAGAATACCTCACAAGAACGCGTTTTTCCTCGCTCGAAAAATAACGTGTCAGGGTCGTTGTATTCGAGATGTAAATTACTTTTCGGAATGGAGTCTCGCGTTTCAGTGAAAAGCTATGATTTTCCCGGACAAAACATAGTTTTTAGTTCTGAATAGAAAGACTGTTTCATTATTTTTAAACTGATGTCTAAAAATTACACGTGACGCGGTGGTGCTATAAAAATCTCAAGTTATTTGTACTCTTCGAGATATACTGCATTGTAAGAATACAATAACGATAATACATTTAAACAATTTCCGTTCTAAAACTGTCAAAAATATTGGAATCCTTTGCGTCGCTTCTCTCGGCAAAGAACCAGGTAATTATTGTTAGATTTCAGAAATTCTCTCTAAGGATGCAGTTCAATTTATGACACATCAGTGTAATAGAAAACAAAAGATAAAAAATAACAAACTCTACTCGAATATCCAAATAATATTTTTCACTAAAAGGAACAGCTATAAATTTACCTAAGAAGACTAAAATAAAAGATTATAATCTTCTACCAAGAAGCCTAATCTTTTCCCACTAAAGCAGTCAGAAACGTTGCAACCCTCAGCGTCATTCCTCTCAGCGAAGAAATAAAACCGATTTCAAAGACAAAGAAGTGTAGACCGATTTCAAAGACTTTCTCGGAAGATCGAGTGGAAGAAGGGTTGTTGAATTTTCCCCGCGGCTTGCAGAATATTTTCGTAGCTCTCGTTCGTGGCTAGCCAGTGCTCGTTCGTAGCAAAGAATAAATAACTCGGTAGCTGCTTAATGGATCGTAAAAGCGTCGCAAATTTCGCGGCCGTGGGGAGAGGACGGCGCGGTTCTGAAGGCAATTTCCAAGCATAATTCGCACCTGGTCCAATAAGCATCATCCACGGACTACCGAGTTGAATTTCGATCGTCCGGCTAAACCTCGTAAAATCCTCCCTTGTCCGCCGGTTAATCAAGATCTCCGACGGTGCACTCTGACGAAAAGTGATAAAACTTTCGTTTCTACGTCGTAAATGGCTCACCTTGAAACGCTGACTCCCTCCAAGCCGATAACTTTTACGCAGCGATTTCGTTTATCGCCACTGTTGCCTGCACACGCTTTCCAACGGCGGTGCTTACAATTCCAACATTTTATTAAATAAAGGCTACTGCGTTCGTTTAATGTCGAAAGTTTCGTTTCTACGATTGAGATAGTAAAATTGGATAATGACGAGCTTCGGCGAACGTTTTATTTTCGTTTAAGTTTGTGAGGAGGGATTGTTTTATGAAGTTGAGGATTCGGATATACTCCTTACGTTCAATGAAAAACATTAACAAATGTTGTATTATTTAATACTCTGCGTTATAAGGCACAAGCGATGCGAATGAAATTACACATTTACGATAAAATGACTAGAAAATAAAAACAATGGAGGACGTTTAATTTGAACATCCAATTATTTGTACATGTCCTAAGATTTATGGCCTGGGATAACGCATGCTCACGTATTTATCTACACTTGTCACAGTATCTAACCTATGTAAATCCAGAATCATTCACAGCCTACTCATCATTCGTTGTCTGTACCAAAATGCATTCGGCACAATACTTCCATCGAATTAACTGTCAACGACGATTACGTGAAATTTAAAGGTGGTAAATTAAAATCCTCGCGTTCACACCCCCGCTATAGTTCGCGGAATTATCGAACGTTTTACGCGCAATTACGCTTTAAGTGGTTTTCCTGTCCATCGTTTGACCGGTGCTTTCCGTTGGTTCCTCATCTTCTGACTTCATTGCTATGCATGGAACGGCGCAAGGATCGCAGGAGGACGACCAAGGTAATTGATTCCTGTCCGAACGAGATATTTACATACGCTAATGGCGTGCTTTCGGCTTATTTGGCTCTCGTATTCGCCACGTTTCGCTTCGTGTGTTCATCTCTGCGTATCTTACTAGTGGCATGATACACGCGATTTCAGAATCGAACAGAGCTCGAATTTCTTGTTTCTGTGTAGTATACTCGAATTGTTTCGGATAAGTAACCGCTTTCGAAGGCCGATGAATAATCGTCTCGTTGATAGCCTCGCTTCCAGAGACTTTTAATTGCCATTGACATCGGCTTAATGCAGACGTCACGTTCTGATAGATGGTAATTATGGCGAACGGATTAACGTTTGATGGCACGATGACGAGTTAGTCGTGAATTTTTTTCCTTGTTTGGTAGAAGAATTTTAACCCTGCTACGATCCTCAAATCTTTGTATTTCAATCTCGTTCTCATTTTAACAAAGAAAAAGAATTTATGACGTTTCGAGGAAATGTTTGATATGAAGCTGAAATGAAAAATCATGCATACTAATACGACTTTTTTTAAATATTTTGTTTAGGTTAAGAATATTCTCTTAGAATAATATAATTGAAAAATCGAAAATGACCGAAAGAATAAAAATATACAAATTACTTTGGAAAGTTGCTTCAAAGAATTTTCAAAGTTTCCGAAATTCATTTCTAATTCCAGAAAACCACCCAAAACACTGTATATAAATTTTAAACCGAAAAAAAAACGGACTAACAAGTAACACACGCACACTTATATACCAATTAACTCACGATTCAAATTATTAATTATAAATTCAATGACCAAAATTACCTGAAAAATTTTTCGGAGCTTGCAAAATTCCTCACAACTCCAAACACCGCCAAATTACTGGAAATGTGTGCTCAAACTCTAACCCAGATAGAACCACACCTCTGCAATTAAAATTTTATCAGTGAACTAATATTAGACTGCGAATTTTTGTACAAACTTACAATTTTTATGAACACGATTAAAAACGGAACTTAAGTGGAAATATCTTCTTATACTTTGCATACTTTATATATTTTTACATATTATATACATTCTATACATTTCTGCATTTTTAAATTTTGCATATATGCGTAACAATCCGTAATCTACTGGTTATAACGAGTTACCATAGTTTCTAAAATTTACCACTAGAAACCACTAAATCCATCAACCTTTCTACCTCTGAATCCCAAAGCGAACTAGAAGCGCACTCACACAAAGAATTGACTGGCTCATTAATGGCACGAGAAACAGGGTCCGAAGCGAAGGCAGCGTTGAAATTCATCACGAAGCTGGTCAGTGTCACTTCGGAATCTCGGGGTCGCTTAGGAACACCCGAACCTGGAACAGGCTCACATTGTTCGCGACGATTCCCTCGACACGACTATCTCCACTAACTGGAGAGTCTAACTCTCTATCGGGTTTCTACACGCTCACCCACGTGGCGTATCGGCGGAGCACACGGCGGAGCGGAAGACGCGCGACGCACGGGCAGCAAGCGCACGTGTCGCGCTTTTCTAGCTCGGTATTACGCGCTTGGGAGCAAACAACGAAATAAGAGCATCAGATAGGCGGCCCCACGGTCGTGCCTCTCCCCGTGGTACACTTCATAAATAACTCCGGTTTCTCGACCCACACACGGCCACGCGAGCGCACGCTCGCTCATTGCTTTCCGCCTCTCTCCTATCTAAGGTGGACCGAGAGGGTAATCGTCGAGGTACGCGTCCACTCAAGAGTAAAACTATCGCGAGGTGCTCTCGAGAGTATTTCTCGTAAGTGAACACTACGTTGAGAAACACGACTATCCGAGTCACTATCAGATAGGATAGAGAATGAGAGTCGCTCTCAAAGCGGTATCCACTTGCGAGAAACACCCTCGAGAGCAACTCACGATTGTTTAACTCTAGAGTAAACGAGTACCTTTACGTACCTTACGCAGCGGATGTTTATGGATTTGTAGGGAAAGGACGTGGTTAAAAAGTGCTAAATCTGTACCGTTTCGAGCCTAAAATTGTAAGAAAATATCATATATCGTATACTTTGTCGTCAATGATGGATTGAGAAAGTATCGTCCGAAGAAAAGAATAAAATATAACGATGGTTCTTCGTATTTGTTATATTCCATTTTGTTTTGGAACTAAGTTATAATGTAATAACTTATCGCATTTTGTTAATAGAAATTGATAACAATTTATGCGAATGTTTATGCAATTTTATATCTTTATAAACATGTAGGTACGACACAACAACAAGTTTCTTACTTTGAATGTTTTGTATATTCTTACATGTTATATGCATTTTGTAGATTTGTGAAACCTTAAGCCAAAAATGCATACGTATCTTTTGTCTGGTTATTAATTAACAATTTGTCCAATATGCTTTTACATGCTATATAAATATCTACTTTCCTTTACAGAATAGGATTCAATTTCTTGCACTCCATGCATTCATTTCGCAAGTTATGATCACTTGAAGCGAGAAACTTCCAATTCGTTGTTTCGCGAATCATTCCATACACAATTTCACTTCGTACTTAATTTTCTTTTATCATCCAAACACTAGCTAATTGTAAGTTTCTCGGCTGAGAGATCTCCATTTTGGTAATCATCTTGTATTCTTTTAAATACAATAATAAAATGCAACATTCGATGTTCGATCGGTGAACGAATGTTTATTTACACTTTCATTTTACTAAATTATTATTAACCAAATTTAACAACTAATAATTAGCCTCAAACAGTTTTATATATAAAAGTTTCGTATATATATATAAAATACATTAATAGCCCAATGCAATTAATAAAGTTGACTTCTTGACGAAAGAATCGATTGTAAGAAACTTCAAAAGAGAAAAAGATATTACTAAATTTTACGAAAGCGTAAGGAGAGTCATGATATAAACTCCACACTATACTGCGCACCGTAATAGTCGTAACCCGAGGATGAAGAACGCGACTGAGAAAACGTGTCGACGGTGTTCTGTCTTTCTTGTAGTAGATTTAACCGAGGAGCGTTATTAACCCAAATTGGCCGTGCTTCGTGCCCTTATCCAATCCCACGCGAGCTACGTACTTCTATGCCGACACGGGAATTATATCGCCCCGGGGCTGTAACTGGTCACGTGTTCTGACTCGTTCTGGATGCACGTTTTGATGGGGTAGGGATGTGGAATTGAATTTCACAGGAATTTGAGGAGGATAGATCGGTCTGTGTATTTCGTTTGTTCGATACTTCGTATTTCATATTTCAAATTTCTCAGGTGTATTTCAAGACACAATGGAAAATAAATCGGTTTGTATTAGAAAATCATTAAGAACGTGAAAAGAAGATTTCAAGTGTAAAAAATAGGAAATTACAAAAATAATATTGTACCATTGTTTCTTAGAGTCTATTTTTTGTAACAATTACATTTGGTAAATAATTGTTTTGTAAGCTTCCAAATAATTTTTCAATTTTGTTGAAAAGAAGAAAGAAGAAGGCTAATCAATTTATTTAATTGTTCATTTTTTATATTTCTTTTGTAGTGAATGTGCATCTCGATCTGTTATTATGCGCAGATTGGAACTCTCTGGTTCTTAACTCGCGAAAATGCTCGTACCATCAATAAGCGGTATTTTGCATCTCCAAAGCTGCTCTTGCAAGTTAAACCAATTTCAAAGAAAAGAGCGAGGCGCTAGGACAGTGTACAGAGTTCAGCCGTGATCCGCAACTCGTGCAAGCATTTGGGAATATGTAAATACCGGATTACACGCGGCGAGCAAGGTTTCCGAACGAAGTGTCAGCCGCGAAAGAGCTTACAGGAACAATGGTCGATCGTGACTGGCGTAGATCGATACGATTCGACGTGTATGCTCATGGTGTTAGTGTGCCACGGGCCAACCTATGTAAATCTAGACGGACAACGCTGTAAGTAAGCTTGATCCGATCTAAGAATAGCGGGACAATATGTTCCACGTTGAATCCAAGAAATCGGTTTGTTCGTTTCGCAATCGAACCTCTGCGAACCTTTCAACATCCTCGCTTCTCGTCGACCGGACGTATCGATCAAAATATAAAATAATAAGATCAAAGAACACAAACGCGGCACTATTTCGATCGATCTGTTGAAGAAAATCGTTGTACATCGCGTTCTTCGTCGCGACCGAGAAGATATCACGTATTCGCTCACAACTCGAATTATTATAAATTACAATTTCGAGCGAGTAGGTTTAGCCGAGTTGGTCAAGAGTCGAGTTTTATGTTACACAATTGCGTTGAGAATACTAAGTGTCTTTCCTTTCTTTTTCTTTCGTCTGAGTATGTTTGATGCGATGCCTTAGGCAGTTAAAGTTCGCCTTATTACGCGCTTAAAACCTGTAAGTGTAGGTGTAGATTTATTGACAATTAGGATTGGCTTCTTGAGCTTCAATGTGTGTGGACAGGAAACATTTCCAAAAACCTGTACGCGTCTGAATTAAATCAAGTGGCATTAGCTTTCTGAGTAATAAATTGTGGGATAGGAGTTCTTTCGGATTTTGAATAGGAATTCGTTACGATTGTATCTTGCTATTTTGTTAATTAGCGTATTGTTGTGTGTTTTGTTCAGTGTTCTTCGCATGAGTGAGTTCTACAATATGGGTCATAATGTCTGTCTTTCGGTTTCCACATGTCATTTTCGCAAACTGTAGCCGCGAGTGGTGTCAAGAATGATTCTTACAAATATGTTCTGTACTCTTTGTGCGTTGTACGTGTATTTTGTAGACAGCGGACTCGAATTGTTCTTATTGTTTCATGAATGGCTGGCTTCCAGGTGATTTGCATAGAGTACTAACAATAAGCGTGCAAAATAATTTTCGATAATTGCGTTTTCATTGGTGTTGCCAGTCCGCATCTACGATTACCTACCTAAATGATTGATCTTGGCTAGAAAATCCGAAGGGATCTCGCGACGGAGCAACAGTTCGCGATTTTATTGGGGGTGCGTCTGAAATTTCAGATCGTCATCGGTGTTGGTCGACTGCTTAGAAATCTCAGTTTACAATTCCGATTTTATTCTTACGTCTCAACAGAAATAGATAAAAAAGGAGGAAATTGATTTTGCACGAGATCGGTAGAAAATGTGTGGATTCGTCGATTCGCAGGCTGAGACTGCTGACACATATCGAAAACTTGCCAGCACCATCGTTCCTCGAAATAAACATCGTTCGCTTCCAAAGAGCGAAGAAATTCGAGCCACTTAGGTATTCCGTTTGATTATTCAGCGTCTGGCAGCCGTTAGCAGACGCTTCGTCATATTAACATTCTCGAAATACAAAACCACCATTCAGAGAAGGGAAACATCGATAGACTACGGCCCCGGTTGTGTATTGCGCATGCATTGAATATCGGCGTGCCGTGATTCGAGTCGATGCTTGCATTTCGAAACGCCTTGTCGAAAGTCGTGTCGATGGTTTTTTCGATTAATTGCTCCATTAATTGTCGAGATATTGTTGCTTGTTCGGTCCTTGAATTGTTTCGTCGCGTCAGCATGAGCTTGGAGTTTTTAAGGAGGTTATTTCCTTCCTCGAATGACTTTTGTTTCAACATCTCTCCTGGTTTTTCTAGCGTCATTTTTCATAGAATATGGAGTTAAGTCGTCGGGAAATAGATATAATATTTCGAGAGGTGGAAAAATAGATGCATATGTCAGGTACTTTAACGGCAAATGACTTTCGAGTGTTGTTTTTATAGGTAAAATCTCCAGGGAATAATTGATTCTCTACAGGCAACGTGAAATTGTAAAAGTGGAATCTTGACAATAAATCAGAGTTCAAGAAACTCATGATAATCGTATTGTCACTGAGCAGATTTCAATTCAAATCAAATTCCAATGCACTTGAAATAAAGCTTTACATGGAATCTACAGTTTGCTATACTACGGATGTTTATGCGAATTCATATTTTTATAAACGCAACTAAAAGAGCAAGATCTAGTCAGAGATTTGTTTCACTTACCAAGTATTACAACAGATACTATACTTTAGATATCTTATATACTTTTGTATATTCCATGCATTCCGTAAATTGTTGCGCCCGTAAATTTTCCATAAATGCATCAAAATTCACACTCCATTTATTACTGAAAGTATATGACGATATATCTAACAATCGGTTAGTGAACCTTAAAATCTGCTAATCCTCTAAAATACAAGAAGAAGTAGGAGAGTAAAAGAATGTTCAAAAAATTCCATGAGCTCAAAAACAGGTCTGTCGGCAAAAACTAAATTGAAAGCAGAGGCCGATTAATCGATGACACACTCACAACATACTTCAACTTGTCTGTTCTACGAAAACACACGTCCAGAAGTATCGAGCGGTATAAAATCCATCGATTTCTTACCAATGAACTCGCATCTGACAGTCATCGAGCACAAGGCAGTCGTGTTCACCGTCAGTCGGTTGATCTTCATGGTGAACATCGGTAAATGCGCGCTGGCCAAAAGTCCAGGGGCAAAAGAAACCCGAACGACCATTTCTGTGGCACGTGGAACGCACGAAAATGCCCGGCTTCTTCTGCCTCGCGAGCAAAGGGCCGCGTTTCGCGAACGGCAGCACGATAAACGGCGCCTTAGAAAAAACTTGGAAGACGATCCTGTACGTGAGACGCGAGACAAACGGCTAATCTTGGACGGTGTACCTTCGTCCCTTCGATAGGTTCGTGGCCCTTTCTGGCATCGTGCTTATGGCGCTCGAACACTCATTCTGATTTATTCCTGCTCATAGCGATGCGTGTCTCGTTCGCGGTCTAAGTAGAATAGGACGTCGCCGGTCAGACTATTAGACAGGCGACGCGTCGCGTTTAACTGACGCGGGACGAGTTTTTGCTTCCCTTGGATTATACAGGCTACTTTGGCATGATGAAATCTGTAGAATGTTTTGTGTACTGTTACTTAACGCAGATATTAACAATATCGGAGCATAGTAAATATATGAAGAATACTTGATTACCTTGTTTGTCTCTAGAGTCTCTTGAAAAAGAACTAATACTGATAATAGAAGTGTTAAGAAGACCAATATGTCTTAAGAATATTAATACGTTTCAAGAATACTATCTGATTGTTTAAAGACTTTTTCAACATAGTTTCCAATTTTATATTTATGTCTTTTTATATTTGTACCCCGGGAACATATTTACCCCAAAGCATTTTATTCAGCGTCAAGATTTTAAAATAAAATTCACTTTTCTATCACAATCTAAATTCCGAAGAATCTATAATACGACTTTAAAGAATCAAATATTACGTTCTATCAAATTTTCTAATTTTATACCACCAAATTCCAATTACTTACGTGCTCCAAAACATCTTCCTCATCGACTTCAAGATTCCAAAATATACATATCAATCTCCCTCTATTTAAGGGAGGGACTAACCATAGATAAAAGGGCATGAACTTTTAACCTAATTTAATAGTACAAGAGACTACGACTTAATCTCTCTGTCGATCCATTGCAACAAATTCCCGTTTAATGCGCTGCAACGCGAATCTGCCATGATCTCGAGCAAGATTCCAGCAAACGAAACCAGAACGAGAAAGATAGAGGAGGCAGAAGCCTTCGCAGCAGCGTTTTTCTACGAGGACAGATAATCATCGTTCGCTCCAGCAGCGTGTCACCGGATAGCACTTATCAGTAAGAGATTGACGACGAGGTCTGCGAGCGAAGGCAGTCACCAACCGCGGCGCGGAAGCGTGTGGGGGATAGAGAGCAAGGCACCGAGGCATAGAGCGATGCTGAAACGGGAGAGAAAAGCAAACGTGGAGGGAATGAAACGAAGCCAGACCCCCCACTTACTGTTCGCGAGTGGCGGCGCGTGTCAACCTTGCCTTGTCCTTGAAACCACGCGACCGCGACCGTACAACGAGCCAAGTCGCTTCGGAACTTTACTAGACGCTCTCGCTCGGTTCTAGCCGTTCTAGGAATCAGCTGATTGACCGACAAAAGAGGCATTCCTAGTGGCTCCTGTGGTCGCATTTTCGCGGACCTGCACAGACACGAAATAATTAACGTTGTCTGCCATGGAAACGACTGACAATGAGTTCCCATTCTTCGTCTTTTTTCTCAAGGCTCGGTTCGAGAACCTGCTTGGAAGAAGGCTTGAACAATTGCTCTTACGTCATGATCCTAACCACTAGTTTCGTCCTTTGAACGAATAATTTCTAGTTTGCGCCGATGTTCTTAAAAATATCTTTGGAAGATTGAAACTGTGATTCATGTTTTCTAGAGAAATATTATATTAGTATTTAATTACAGAAACGACTATATTTTGCCTTAGATATGTAATTTATCAGATTATTTAATGGTTTTATTTGTTAGATGTAGTATATTGCGAAAATTATTATGTTTTGTTTAGCATAATGATAATAGTATTATTTTCTGTCTGTTTTTGTTAAGACATTTTTATACTTGAAAGTATTCAATTACTGATTCTTCTAAAACTTTTTACTATATTGTGGTGATGAAATGGAAGTTCAAACTGCAGCACTGCAGAAAACGATTAGCCATTTCGATTCGTGGTGTTCATAAGTACATACATGAATGTAGAAAAATTCCACTGCCTTGACCTATGAACTTTTACACGTGGTTTTATAACTTAATGGATTTACGTAAAATCATGTAACACAAGTTGCTTAAAAATTAACAAAAACCCGTAGTTTACATTTTCACCTTCTTCGTTTTTATTTCAGAAGCTTGGTATACTAAGCAGAGAATATTTTCTGATAACTGTCCACTTCTATCGATCCATACCAAAGCCTCAAATCTCACCGGCGAGTTACGGAAGCACAAAAACGAAAAGGTAAATTAAACACAGTTCTAGAATATATGTATCAATCATTCGAATAATTATCATTACCACGTAGCTTGTACCGTGTCACGCGACTCGAAGGTTGCGTCGTTTCTTTGTACGAACAGTCTTTTTATCTGTTATGCCGTGTCATTCGCAATTTTAGTGGCAACCCGAAAGTCGCGCGGTTCATTCAGTTAGAAACAAAAGACTAAAAAAAAGATAGAAAAGGAGAAAAGAATTTCTTTTTTCTCCGAGTAGAGATTCTTTTCTTGTCTGTAGTAATAGGGATCCGCAGATAATGATTCGACGACGCGAAAAATCATGTGATTTAATTAAATTAGCCGGTGAAATTATGCGACTCGATTATCATCCTAATGACCATTAGAGGCAAACTCCAGGGTCGGGGCTAATAAATAAAAGAACGTTTCCCCGAACGGAGGACTGGTTCAAGTTGTGAACTGGCAATTATGGCCGCGTTTCGACGCGAAGAAATGATCCTTCTCGTAGCATTGTCGCCATGGAAATCGTACGTGAGAGGTTAGAGATGAGAATCCGGTCAGATCTTGGTATCTCGTGAGACCTGTTTGTCGGAGATTTTACGTAACAAAAGATAACCAACTCGTCGGCGCGTAGATAACTAGGAATTCTAACTCCCGTGTCTGTTACTTATGCAACATGTCAACTAGTGTAAGATGGGCACTTTTGTACCTAGAAACCATACGATATACGTATATACTTAGAACAGCACTTTTAAGTATGTACAATTGGTGCAATTAATGTGCCGGAGTTGTAAAGTAAAATATTAAGTGGTGACATCCATTGGGATAATCATATATATCACCATACCATATAGGATCAAACATTTAAATAATTTTCAAAGATCATTTATAAAATGACATTTAAAATTTTTATATAATGTATGCGATTAACTTTGTCTTGTATGTATTTTCAATTCCATTTAAGTTATTTAAGATTCAAATGAATAATAAATTCAATCAGCCAATATATACAAAATTTTCTTTAAATCTATTACGAAGGAACAGACAACTGTAAATTAAATCATACTGTGTTAAACGATGCTCAAGTTTCTTATTCCCTTTTATGTGCCTCGAACTGCAATTCCAACTCTCAATTACACCAATTTCAACACTTAGTCTATTTTAAAAGCCAACTATGTACTCGTATATACCTCCCTCCAACTGTACATTCGAAAGGAAATCATCGAATGGTCACGAGTTGCCATTGAAACTCATCAACCAGATTGAAAATACTTTATGCTCTTCTATTTATATGTATGCATTTCCTCGTTCGTTACTACGAAAAGTATAGCACGACTGGAAGCGTTATTTACTTTGACCCTAGCGCCGGATTTGCGATAGAAAACGATAAGGTGCTACCGCGCAACTTGTCACTCAACGTGATATTGCGTGTGCCGCTACTTCTGCGCCGTAAATTGTGGTGCCAGAGACGCCACCGGCCAGCCAGAGGTGCATTATGGTAATGCACCGGCATCGTGGTTTCTTGTAAAATCCAGACGCCTAGGCAACGGTCCAAAATTTCCTCTAGTCACTTCCTGCTTTCGAAACTGCATCACCAATAGCATGTATTATGTCTAGACATCGATATTAAACACTCTAATCTCGAATACGAAATCTTTTACTATTCAACAACAAAAAAAGTCTATATACAATCTGTACAATAATAGCAAATAATAGCATAACGAGGAGACGATAAATATAGCCTCTTGGAAACCTTTCACCGTTCGATACAGCATAGTGTCTTCGATGACGTTTCTAAATATCAATCCAAAGAATTTTCCGATCTGGAAGCGTGGCTCGACTCTCTGGAAAATTACTCATAGTTGATTACGGGAGAAAGTCGACAACGATAATCAGTTATCAAAGTCTCGAGATTAGATTCTCCTCGTTGCCTGATAATTTCGAATCCGTGACTTCTTCCGTTCCACTCTCCACGTGTATTCTTTTGTGATTAGCACGATTCAGGAGAATGGTTCGATCGAATTGCAGACGCCCTCTGTGATCCTTGCGAGGCGAAAAGGGCACGACTTTCGAAGGTACAAGGGCCTCACAGTGTTCGAGGATCCATCACCAGGAGGCAGCAGGTTCTTGTCGACCCACGTTTTCGGCCTAGCTCGGTGGTACAGATACGAATTTCGGGTCCATGTCGGGTGCCAGGACCACGAAAGGAGCCCCCCAACACCGGTTTCATACAGGAGAACCTACGATATTCTCCTTCAGGTGGCAGCACCTCAGCGGCAATGCTCAGGTACCTTCGCTCAGTATGCATTGGGAGCTGCAGCGGCACAGATGGTGCATAGGGCCCCACTTGTAATAGTTTTGAAGCATTTAGCTAGACTACCTGCGAAATACTCTTTCGTATGGTAGAATGCTCTTATAGGATTATACTCTGTTCTCTTAAACTTGGTATGGCTACGAGTAAATTGTATTTGAAGAGTAAAAACTTGGAATAATGAACGATCGATCTTTGCTTCTTTCGTATTTATCTCTTTTCGTATATTATCGATCTTAGATTGCTAATATAATTAAACGAAGATTTGTTCAAGACTGGAAGCAATGTTAAAGTTGAGAAACGTAGACTAAACTTATGATAGAAAAATTGCACTTAAAAAAGATGAAGTTTGAATCTGAAAAGATTGATTTAGAAATTGGTAAATCTAAAAGAGCTAATGGAGGTAAGGGAACGAGGAAATAAACGAGACCAATAATTGAGTTTTGACAAAGAGATCAATATTTATTTGATGCTCTTGTTGATAAGCGTCGATCTTTTGTTCTATTCTCAGGATAGAGAGGAATTTATAAATTTTCTCCGCACTCGATATAAATATAAATTAGGACAGATCATACTCATACGACCACGCTCAGCCTCTCACGCTCTCCTGCTCCTCTTCTTTCACGCACAAGGCTTAAGTAATCTACAAACTAGGCGATTTCGCAGTTAGTTTTACATACGTTCCTCGTACTTATTACAACCACGGTACACGGCAAAACACTCGCTTGGCCGTTTTCTCCGTACAAGAAACAGAATGGAAGACCTCGGTGATTCTTGTTGCGTAAGGCACTTAAAATATGATATTCGTCTAACGTTATATACAAAAGGAAAAAGGAAATCAAAATAGAACGCGAAAACATCGTAGAGGAAGGAAAGAAACAGGAAACAGGACGATACCGATGAAACGAAAAATGATGAAAAAAGAAGATTTACGAAGGGTTATTTTTTAAATCCAGGTTCTCGACGAATACGATGTTTAACTGATAAAATAAAACAATATTTACAAGGCACTGTATAAGGCACTGCCTCATAGGCTACTGGCCGACTGCACACACTCGGGAAATATCGAATTCTCACGGTTTGACAGCGACAAGATCCTAGCTCGCAGGACACCTTTCACCCTAACAAAAACACGACTTCGAAAACGCGATACGTAAGGAACAATGATCCGTGTCCCGCGGGACTGTTCTCCACCCAATTCACGTCTCTTCCGCCGAAGCGTATATATCACTCGAGACATGTCTTCTTCACCCGCGATCGATTATACAGCAATTAGCCCAAATTTTCTTCGATATCTTGACCCCAATGAGCAACACGAAAATTCAGTTTCACTCTTGACGACTCTTTACCACGGCCTCCACGGTTTATCTTCCACTTCTGGCACAACGCTCTTCCTCATCACCAATGCAAGAGGTTTCTGAAGAGGAGGACTGTATACACGAGGATCGAATTCTGGATCGCTTGTGTAACCGTTGGCTGGCGACGTCGCGACGTCTCTGTGACTGTTTCCATTGGTGTAAGCTGCAGGTTGTTCGCGGAAAGTCGCTGGAGGTGCTTCGAATGCTACTGGACTCGCCGCTGATGTGGACGTCGAGCTAGCGGAAGATGACGAGGACGATGCCGATGCCGTGCTAGCCGTTCTCTGAGGAATTGGGATCAGAGTTGGCAGAGGCGAAGTTGGCGCCGGAGATGCGGCTGGTGACGTAACAGGAGTCGCTTTTGCACCCGCTGGGAGCACCAATGCGATGTCTCCATTTGGTAATCTCGTTGGGACCAATTGAAGACCCGTGCCATTCGCGTTCGTGAAGAAGATCCCGTTTGATTGTTGCACCTGAATCCTCGGGGTTGCGTCCACTTGAGGCAGAATGTGCACTTGGAGCTGTGTAGTCGGTGGCGCCGGTTGGACAGGCTGCTGATTCGTCGCCTGCGTGTTGTTGCTTGCCTCAACCGGACCAAGGTAGGTGGCCAAGTGGGCCATCAAACGTCTCTTCACCGAGGCGTCCAGCCCGGGAAACCTGCCAACCTCACCGGCGCATTCCGTGAAACCAGCACGGAATTTGTTTAGTACGTTCGGATCGGTCGCGGCCGCCAGGGCAACCTGTTGACGCTGG